TAAAACAGTAGAAAGAATGTTGTACTCTTGGCCTCTGCTTGTAGAGGCTATCCAGGCTTGAATTTAAAGGTTTTAGCGGGCGTTAACACTTTAAATTGCATTGATACTTTCTTTTGATTTTACTACTATTTTAGCATACTGTAGTTTTGGGAATTTTGTTTCTTTTGGATAATAGTAAAAAGCTAGATTAAATAAAGATTTTTGTTAAAAGAAGTGTATTCTGCGGTGGTTATCAGTTTTGTCTTCACATGAACATGGATTCATATTTTCTTCTACCAGGTAGTAGGTGTGTAATCTTGGGTAAGCAGCCTGATTTCTCTAAATCTGTTCTTTTATCTAAATAATGTAATAGTAGTTGCTTTCTTATAGGAATGTTTTGTGTTTTAAGCACTGAACATGTGCTATATTATTTGGTTAGTCCCTGTCTCATACCAAATGCCAAACAAATAAGAACTCCTGCTGTCATACTAATGTTAATATCATAGGTTGGGGTCTTCTAGAAAATCATAGGGCCATTACAAGATTCTCCGAATTTTGTCCTGTTTCTGATGTTCACCCAAGTCTACCAAATCTAAAGTGACAATGCTGTCATGATGCTTAGATTATGGGAATATGGTACAGAGAATTGCTAACTTGATAGTATTCTTAAAGAACCATTTCATTGTTCAAAGAGTAGTGGGTGATAGTTTTTAGATTATAAAGATCACCAAGAAACTACTTAGTTTTCATTTAAAATTTTTCTTCCTATGACTGAAATAATGGAATCTTTTTTAAATGTCATCCAACTTTGTGGTGAATATTGTAAGTATATTCTAGACCCTTGCTTTATAGCTATAAGGGAGTTTTACTCCAGACCGACAAGTAGGCCATGATTTATTACAGAATCTGCTTTTAACATTATTTTGTCCAGAATGAACAGAGTGGCTGGAGAAACTCCATCCATCTTTTTGTTTATTTGACATTTATGCCACATTAAATGTACCTTAAAAAAATAACATATGAATAATAAATTCTATTTAACATTGAGGATTACTCATCAGTCAGATAAATCTCTTGACATAACACAAAAGGAATCCTGACAAGCAATGTCTGTTAAAATTTGGATAAAGCATTTTTTTAACCTGAACAAAGTTTTAAAACAAATACTTGTTTCATTTTTCTTTCAAAGAACGATTATTACAAAATGTATTTAAGTTGTTCTTCATTACAACAAGGTTAGCACTATCTCCCAAGCTTTAATTATTCTAGATTAGTACCTTATCATGGCATGACTGATTAGTGTAAATAGATTATGTCTTCTTTACTTGTTAATGTCTACCAAAACAGTGAAAAAAAAGTATGGATGAAATAGGTGAAGTTGTTGCTAATACATTTTGTGTATGTTTGTGTGCTTTCATGCTTTTGGAAAACTTTCTTTATATTTATTAATTTTTAGAAGAGATTATGGGGGAGGGAGAAAGAGAAGAATAATTGAGGCAGGAAGAGTACTCTGGTAGCATTGTGAACTTTTTTCCTGAGAATGCTAGAAGATGAATAAACAATCTTTGCCCTGGGATTTAGAGCTGCAGGATAGTTTAAAAATGAGACACTATGAATTATCAACAAAATGCTTCTCATCTGAGATGTTTTATTATGTTTAATGTCAAATATGTTTGGAAGTTTGAGTGTTTTTTTTTTAATTTCACAATTATTAAATACAGATTTAGAAATGATGGGAGAAGTATTCTTCTATTTCCTGTTCAGTAAGTATACTTTCTAATATTATAATGTTACCAATGTGTGTCCTACTAACTAGTGGGCAATTTCAATATGACAGCCTGTGATAAATGAGCCCCCTCCCTAAATTAGTGCTAGTTTTATAGCGTCTCTGAATTCGTTGAATCTGTGTTTGACTGGAAGTACTTCACATTTATTAAATTGGTAGATATTGCAAAGTATATGGTGTTTCAGAATTCTAATTTTCAATTATTATTGCTCATGAATAAAGATTGAGATTGATCCATTTGATTGTTGTTTCATCATAGAGATATCTCAATATATGAATCCTAGGAGTTCCTGGCTGTTTAGCTATATCACAAATCTTTTTGGAAAACTTTCAGGCTCTACAAATTACAGAGGGAGATAGCATTTGTCTTATTTATTATTCCACATAGGTCACTTACCTAGTTACCCCTTTCTTGAGATGGGGAGTGGACTATCCTTTCATGAGATGGGGTAAAAGTAGGTGGCTGAGAATCTACAGAAGGAAGAAACAGCACCCTTGAGGTAATCACTGATACGAAGCAGAAAAGGAGCTTTAGTTTTAGCATGCTTTTTTTAACAAAACAGAAGACAAATTTTATGCTAGCTCTATTATATTTATGAAAGTTTGCTGCTTTCATGTGGCCTTATCTGTTTAAAATGGTAGTATGAATGAAAAGCTAGAGTTGTAAAAAAGTCACAATTTAGACTAACATTCTTAGGTTTATATGTAAAAACTGAAATACATAGAAAAATTAGAACTGACCCAAGCATGCAAAAGTAACTTTAAGAACTAGGTTTTTCATTTTTATTCTCGTTGTTTTGTTTTGTTATTTCACTATTCTTATATATACCCAAATTACTATAATGTGCACTTAATAGTTTTGGAATGGAAAGTGAATTTAGAGTTACCTTTCTGTGTTATTATGTTATTCTGTTATTTTTACCTGCATGCAAACTAAAGTCCAATAACTTCCCCAAGGCTATTAACTCGTTAAGGGTATGTTTAGCATTACTAGGATCATCTTCACATGCTAGATATCTTGCTAGTAATGATATCTATCTATCTATCTATCTATCTATCTATCTATAGATAGATAGATAAGATAGATAGATATTTGGCAGTACTCTTTTTAAACACTTAACTGGATATTGTGAAATCTACATTTCTTTTAAACGAGGTATCAAATAATGACTTATGTGTTCTGTTTTTAAAGTGCCAGCAACCGTTCTTTCTTGGTATGGTGCTAGGGTTATCTATTAGCCCTGTGTTCATACTGCTCTAGGCCCATCACTCCCTACTGGCAGTTATCAAAGGAAACCCAAACTAACTCCTGTTTACTGCTCAGATGTTAGCTTCACCACTTCTCATTTCTGATTGCAGTCTATGACCACTTCAGATTAGGATTGGTCAACCCTGGTCTTCTCCTCAACCCTATATTTTTTTTAATCCTATATACCCATTGAGGTTCATCTGATCAGCTAACTGACTTTTAAAGTGGAGAGCTCACAAATTGGTGCTCCAACACCAGTCCATTTCTCCAAGATCTACTTATGTATTCTTAATAAGGACACTGTCACCCTTGAGGGATAGAAAGTTGATTCTTAAGGAGCAAAAAACAAATTTTACTACCATTTTTATGTAAAGTGCAGCTATACATACAGTACATTAATATAAGTGCAGTATACTTGTGGTTTTTACATTTCCTAGTTATAGACAATTAGACCTAATATACCTAAAAGGCTCTTTAGGGGGCATTAATGAAAACCTTAGAAATATAGTTCTGTATCTTTATAAATCTACTTCTTTTCAAGACATTTTCACTTGAATATTACTTAGAAGCTTTATACTCATTTTGTCTGTAACTGGAGCAATTATCTATTTCTCATCTTTTTTGACCTGTCTCAAATAATGGCATCACCTGGGTCTCTAACCTCACTTGGTTTATTATCTCCATTCCTTGGGCACAACCTCAGTTCAGGTTGTCGCATTTCCCTACCTGAATTATTGCCACAGCTTTTCAAGTTGTTCTTTATGCTTCTGTTATTACCCCTGCTCAAATCTTTTATCCACACCACATAGGAGCCTTGTAAAATGTATATGTAATCATCTCTTTCATCCAGTTTAGAATCAAAATTGTATTTCTATTTCATGGCATACCTTTTATTTTATTTCATGGTCTTTTCAGATTTGTGTCTTCCTGCTATTCCTACTTGCCTTCACTGACATATACACACTTTTTTCGAAGTCACTCAGCCTCTTCAGATGTGCCATATTCCTCCTCATCTATGGCTTTAGTTTAGTCAGTGTAACAACACTGTATCAAAATATCTGAGCTATTTAACTCTTAAGAGGGTTTTTAGCTCACAGTCTGGGGTTAGGGGCATGGTGCCTTCCTAGGCTATTCTGGTGAAGACTGTCTCAGCCACATCCAGTATGGTGCATGGCAAAGGCAGGAGCACATGTGGGAACAAGAGTTCACATCGGGAACCTGGAAAGAGAGAGACTAAGTGGGTCAGGCTTTCATAGCAACGCTTTTGTGAGAACTACCAACTAGTTGCTTAAGAAATCTTTTAATCTCTAAGGACCTCTCTTGAGAACGCATCTCTTTAAGATTCTACCTCCCACCATAGCCACAGTGAAGACCATTTTTCCTGTGTATGAACCTTTGAGGGACAAACCAAGTACAAACCATACCAAGCCCTTTTCAAATGCTATTCTTTCTGAAATATGTACTTCTGAATTTTCTTCTTCCCTCTCCTAACCCCATCCTTCAGAGGTTCATTCAGTTCACATGTTGTGTTGCCCTAAAACTACTTTGTAATTGCTTTTACTAAACTATTTGTCATATCAGGGCAAATGGTTTAAAAAATTAAACAGCTTGTTGCTTCTGAATATGTGTCAAATGATAAATGGATAAATGCCCCATTTACCATTTAGTAATTTTAGGTACTGGTATTACATAGACTTTCAGGTTTTTCTGCTTTTCTAGACATGTGACCATTAATTTTTTTTTCTCAGAAAATGTTGCATCCTAGGTTGAATTAAAGTTATTTCTCATTTACAACAAATATTAATAATTTTGACCAAGCAAGTAAAAAGTACCTTTTCAAGCATTGAAATATTTCTTTTACAAAAATGGAATTAATTAATATTACAGCTTATTTCTTATCTACCAAATACAGTATAAACATTATTTGAGTAGGTAGATTATCAAAATACTCCTGACAATGTTTTGTCTCCCTCTCATTTTCTTTAGCTAAAGGACACAAAATCAGCAGACCAGAAAACAACATTACTTCATTTCCTGGTAGAAATATGTGAAGAAAAGTACCCTGATATCCTGAATTTTGTGGATGATTTGGAACATTTAGACAAAGCTAGTAAAGGTTTGTACTTTGGAAAAAAAAATATGTTATTGCTCTGGTCTTCAGTTCTAAAGGAATATAATGCTTTTTATTTGTATATACTTCTCATTTTGTCAAAAACATTTTATGTTCAGTGTCACATTTTAAAAATAGAAAACTACAGGAAATTTACTTTAGGACTTGTCATGATTGGAGCTGTTTAATATATTTGGTAATGAAACTTTATATTTATGAACACATTATCTTATGGCTTAAATTTTTTGAATGCATGCTAGACTTACCCTCTGCTGCTTAGTCTCCTTACTGTGTCTCCTTTGATTCCATGTCACCCACGACCACCAAATGACAGTTATATATTTGACCCCAGATGTAGCCATCAGTGTCTCCCTTTCCACAAGATCAAGCTCTATTTAAAGTGGAGGTCTCATTCCATGAAGACACCAGACTGCCAGAGTCTCAATTCAACCCTTTCTAATGCCCTACTTTCTAACCTGGTTCTAGTTCCTACTAAGGGTCAGAAAGGATAGAATCCATTGTTTTTTCTTGGTTATATTATGATTTAAGTTAAAAATTTTATTACCAACTTAAATACCCAGTTTTCATTTATATTTCACATTGGTTTTATGCAAACAACTTTATCTGGTTTGAAACAATCAATTTGTGAATACATTCTGGGAGACCAGAGGTATAGAATGAGGAGTATCTGTATTCTTTTGATGTTGACCACTTGTTACTAATAATGTCATTTTTTAAAAAAAATCTCTGTTTTCTCCTACTTTCTTTTCTTTTTATTTTCATTGTACTCTAGGGATAGAACCATGGTCTTCCATATGTTCACAAATGATCTACCACTGAGCTATAGTCTCAGCCCCTGCTTTCTTCTTAATGTTGGAATTTGTGACCTTAAAGAAGGGTCTTTTATTTTCTTCTACATTGGAATGAATATTCCTTCTTAAGTGCTTTTATCATTCTCTACGTCTTTCAAATTTTTCTGTAAAATGATGCTTATAGTACTTTATCTGTAAAGAGACATTTGATTGGCTTTGATGTTCTGTGTAACTTTATCCCATGATACATATTTCTTGAAGGACATATTTCATACAGCCTATTGGAAATAATTAGCATAGATTTTTAAGACCTTTTTACCTGTCTTATATTAAAATGTTTATGAAATAAGAAAATGTCTCTCTCTGTATATATAAATGCATATATGTATACATGTATGAAATATTACTTGTATACCATATATGTGCACATACATAGTGATTATACATATAATGTGTATATATATATATATATATATATATATATATATATATATATAAACATATACATATTTTCTGTTTTGTAATTTAAGAAGAGAAATTATACAAATTATCTTCTGTTAATATATGTCAGGGTAAAAAGGAATAGAACCGAGTGGGAGAAACCACTAAAAATAAATTGGTGTTATTAAATCTAGCTTTTAACTGGTTGGTTCATTAAGTCAGTGAAATTGACTTTTCTAAAGTGAGACCTTAGACATTTTGGAATATATAAGCAAATGGGATGAAAACAAAATTGAAAGTGAGTAGTGTTGGTGGACATCAAATTTTGTAAGTAGCAAGTCTAGCAGATAGCAGTAGTGGCAGAAAGTTCCTTGAAATATAGAGCTTTCTTTTGAGAAAAAGATGGTTGAGTAGGTAATAGTGTTAATTGATGTTAATGCTTTCATAAGAATCAGGCAAGCGCTTTTGGATAGTGACAGTTTACATTTCTGGTTATCATTTTTCATACTTGTTGTAAAGCTGAGCAGGGAACTGGAACATTCTTCTCTTTAGATGCATTGTTTTTATGGTGAAATTCGTTTTTTTTTTTTTTTTAGGAATTTTTACTTTAAATTAAGTTCTTGAAATATTTACCTTGTCTCATTTGATTGTACTTAAAATTCTTTAAAATATTATGATACTTTAAAAATTATTTAACTTTCATGAGGACTTGCAAGATTTGTTACTTTGTAATTTGATTTTTTTTCTTTTTTTGTGTGTGTGTTTCAGTGGGGCATTTTGGGACTGGGGGTTTTATCTTCCATCTGTTACAGTGGAGACACACATATGTGTATGGGTCAGCAGATATTGCTAATATGTTTCACAGGGAACAGCCAACTTCACATTTGAATAGAAGAAATATCACTGAATTTTTTTTTTTAAATAGTATAGGTGATTCTTGAATTCTTTCTGTGATAATCTAACCCAATTAATGAATGTGATTTTAGAGGAGTAAATGGAATGTTTTAGATGATATATCTGTGTTTGCTTCGGAGAACTTCATTGCTCTTATGTATCATCATTTTGAAGTTTTCAGACTTGAAGTCTCCTTGGTGAGCTATCACATGAATTAAAAAGTACCTTTGTTTTTGAGACATAAAAAATCCTGTCATTAGGTACTCCTAGATCAGCAGGGGTAACTTTCATTGCAACTAATGAGCTTACCCATATGACAATTTTAAAAAATCTACTTTATTAGGACTATTTCTTTTCTAAGAGATAATGGTTTACAGTTTTTCTGTTGTGTTTCAGTGAAAATATTTTGGTTCATTATTGTATTTCTGTATACCATTGTAATATTTCTTTCTTTCATGAACTTCTAGGTGTTGAATACAATTTTTCTTGTCTAAACAATTAAAGTTAATTCGCTATGAATGTCTTATTGATCAATTCTCAATAAGCTGTTTTGGTATTAAAATGAAACATTATTAATGAATAGATAATGACAAATCTTATTTTTTAAAAAAAATTTGGTTGGTTTTAGGAGGTTATATTAAAATAAAACCAAGGTAAAGTTTACAGCATAATGTGGTCAACCCTCTTTTAGTGTTATCTACACAAAATATGTCTATTGTTTCCTTGTCAACTCTGAATTTCAGAAATGCCATACTAACCCACTCTGTAAATCATGTATTTACCCCTTCATTTAACAAGTCTGCACTTGGAGTTATTGTGTATGAAATGTGCTATTTTCTTGTGTCGGTCCAATGTGTAATTTTTGTGTCTGAATGCAACCTCACTGACATCAGGTGTCTGGCCCTAATAACTCCTACCTTTTACTCCCGTATCCTTTACTTCCTCTTGCTCTCTGCTCCCTCTTTATATAGCTGCTGTTATTAGCCTAATAACTGAGCCCTTCTCTTTCTTTTTCTACCCACAACTTTCCTTGAGGTGTTCTCTTAAATCCCCCAGGACTAAAAGTCATCATTAATTATGTAAATAACTTACAAATTTATGTCCCAGACTTTACTTCTAAGGTTCACTTTTCTGTGTCCAACATCTTTTGCCATTTCCATCTGCATCTCAAATAGGCATTAGGATCACAATGTACCACAAGACAGGATTCTTGACCCCTACACATTTAATGTCTTCCCAACTTTTATATAATTGAGAAAACCCTTCCTGGTCCCTTCTTCTGATTTTCTTTCTCTCATTTGTCACATCTGAGTATAATCTTCAGGACCTCAACTCTGCCTGGTAGAGTCTGCTGAAGTTAAATCTATGGAAAGTGGCTACTGCATGTAAAATGTTCTTTGGCTTTTTACTTCATCAAGAAACTTAAAGAAGATGTCAAGTTCTTTTTGATACTTGTTTCTGGTACTTCAGGATAAATTTATTGGTTAAACTGAAATTCTCACACCATTATTAAAGAACAGTTTCTCTAGTATCTTATTTTTGTTGTTGTTGTTGTTGTTGAGGTTATTGTAAATGGGGTAGTTTTTCTCATTTCCTTCTCAGAGGATTTGTCACTGATATAAAGAAATGCCTTTGATTTATGGGTGTTGATTTTATATCCTGCTGCTTTGCTGAATTCATTTTACTTTAAATTAAATTAATTCTAGAAGTTTTCTGATGGAGCTTTTTGGGCCTTCTAGGTATAGAATCATATCATCAGCAAATAGTGCTAATTTAAGTTCTTCTTTTCCTATACATATCCCTTTAATTTCATTCATCTAATTGTTCTGGCCAGTGTTTCAAGAACTATATTGAATAGAAGTGGTAGAAGAGGGCATTCCTGTCTTGTTCCAGTTTTGAGAGGGAATGCCTTTAATTTTTCTCCATTTAGAATAATGTTGGCCTGAGGCTTAGCATAGATAGCCTTTACGATGTTGAGATATGTTCCTGTTATCCCTAGTTTTTCTAGTGTTTTGAACATGAAAGAGTGCTGTATTTTGTCAGATGCTTTTTCTGCATCTATGGAGATGATCATATGATTCTTTTCTTTGAGTCTGTTGATGTGATGAATTACATTTATTGATTTCCTTATGATGAACCAACTTTGCACACCTGGTATGAATCCGACTTGATCATGGTGCACGATCTTTTTGATATGTTTTTGTATTCAATTTGCCAGGATTTTTTTGAGAATTTTTGCATCTATGTTCATTAGAGATATTGGTCTGAAGTTTTCTTTCTTTGATGTGTCTTTGCCTGGTTTTGGGATCAGGATGATATTGGCCTTATAGAATGAGTGTGAAGTGCTGCCTCTTTCTCTATTTCCTGAAATAAATTGTAGAGTATTGGAATTAGTTATTCTTTAAAGGTCTTGTAGAACTTGGCTGTATATCCATCTAGTCCTGGGCTTTTCTTGGTTGGTAAGTTTCTGATCCTTTGAATCAACTTAACAAAAGAGGTGAAAGATCTATACAATGAAAACTACAGAACCCTAAAGAAAGAAATCAAAGAAGACCTTAGGAAATGGAAAGATCTATCTTGATCTTGGATAGGCCGAATTAATATTATCAAAATGACCATACTACAAAAAGCATTATACAGATTTAATGTAATTCCAATCAAAATCCCAATGGCATTCCTCATAGAAATAGAAAAAACAATCATGAAATTCATCTGGAAATGTAAGAGACCCAGAATAGCTAAAGCAATCTTTCGCAAGAAAAGTGAAGCAGGTGGCATCACTGTACCAGACTTTAAACTATACTACAGAGCAATAGTGACAAAACAGCATGGTATTGGCACCAAAACAGACTAGTAGAC